GTATCAAAAGTTATATGAGTTTTGTTCCAATCCATATAGTGAAATAACAATTAGGAAATGCTCGCATTTACATATTATCAGCAAAGTTCAAAATTCCTCATTCTATTTACGAATTAAAGAAAAAAAGGTTGAAAACCATCCGGCAACGCAGGAAACAAACAAACATATCACAGCCGTTATTTTTTTATTTCACGCAACATACAGAAAACCTAAAATAATTCATATTTGTACATGCTGAAGAATCTAATGTAAAAGTTTGATACTTGGTCTCTGTAAGACAATGTATTATTGTAAATAATGTCCAGTTAAAGAAAATAATCTTTCATATTTCATACTTTTTTGCGTACCCTACAAATACCAACCATTCTACAAAATACTCTTCGCATGTTTTTTTTAAATAGAATGTTGATTCCTCACTTAACCGAAAGCGAATACTGCATCTAATGAATGTACTTGTTTAAATTATACCTGTTATAGTCATAGCTGAAAAAGTTATTTACCGAAAAGAGAAATTTTTTTTTAATTCTGCATGGAAAAAATTACATTTTTTTTCTTAAAGGTTAAACAATAAAATATCGTCAGCAAAAATTTGAGTTACATGATTAACTAAGCTATGAATTTTATATGAACCAACAACTTTTTTCCCTTAATTAAAGTAATATATAAATAATTTGAAAAAAAAAAATTTTTTTTTTGGTCATTCATTGTAATCCGATGAAGTTACAGTTTAAGTAAATACTTTCTATTTATTAATTTTTTTGATCACATTTCGGTCATGTGTGTACTACAAAGCTTAATAATTAAAGCCATTGCTAAAAATAGTTTTGGATTTAGTTTATTTAATTTATTATAAGTGTTGTTTTAATATATGCAGACCCATGAAAGCATTACGATTTGCTAATTATATCACCATTGGTATTAATAATTATGTCATTCAAAAAAGTTAATCATGTCTTTGAATATTTATGTGAAATTAAATAGTTTTAGTATTAAAATGTAGTGCAACTGTTTATTTTTTATAAAAATTTTAAACATTACGAACACATCTTACACTATGAACCACATAAAAACATACATATACTATATATATGCTGTATATATTATATCATATACCTATCTTTAATTAAAATGCAATGATTATTTTAAATAATAGTTAAAAATAAAGCTTAACATACGTTTATTGGTATAAAATAAATTACTAATGTAGGAAAGTAGCGAAATGAAAGTTTTCAAAGAAAACGGGGGAAAAAATGTTTTTATTCCAATGCAGATTACCACGCATGCGCATTGTTGACAAACTTGAAAAAAGGGGGTAAAAGAGAAGAGTTCGGGTTATCAGTATTGGGGCATTCGATGTAGAGAGAGGGGTGTCTGTGATTGAGCCAGTGGAATAATAAGTTTCATCCATAGAAAATAAATTTCAGCTGTCAATTTTTTCTAATAAGTCCTTCTAAGGGAGGTAAGTTTCAATATTTTTTATTTCATTATTTTATTCAGTGCTTTAATTAGTATTATAGTTAAAAAAATTTCTAACAACAAATTCTTCAAAGCATTGACATACTACTTTGTTTTAGTATGCAATGATTTGCATTATCTTTAAGCAAATTTAGATTTTGCCGTTATTTTTTTTTTAATGATTTTCTTGTTTGCTTACCGTAAAACAACGATATATAAAATTTGTTTCCTGATAGTTATGTCTTGTTATTGTATAGCGAAGTTAAGTGCTTTCGGAAGCAGAACAATTTATAAAAATATCAAGTTGGAATAAATCTTTTAATTTTTAAATTAATGATATTTATCAAAAATAGCAGCCATTTTCACAATTTTTAAGCACATTAAATTAACTCTGTTCATTTTATACGATTCAATTAGCTGTTTCTTGATACGATCTTCCAGCATTTCATATTACATATTCGCTTAATTTAACATCGTGATAGAATATCAAAATAACGTATTCACATTTAAAAACAAGAGTAATTTTTCATTACTATTTAATGAAAATAACAACGCTGGGATTTAAGAAAGGTTTTTCAGATAAAATATTTCAAAATTGTCCTGCTCATTTTTTATACGTTTTATAATAAAAGATGAAGGAATATAATTTAGTGTTGTTATATAGAAAGATTTTTGAGATTTTCAAACCATAACTCTATTATTTTTTGCGATATAGCTTATAATGTCTTGTTAATGTATATCAACAAACTAATCTACTAGAATTTTGCAACAAGAAGAAAGTTTCATTATTTTTTAGCACACTTTAATGTGAGTAACAGCATCGCAATTTAAAATATACTATTAACTACATATGCATAAAGGAAAAACTTATTTTGATATTTTTTTTTATTATATTGGTGAGTTCAACTTTTAAATTATAACTAAATTAACTATATTATTTTTAATTGATTTACTAACCATGTCCTGATATGGTGAGTCAGCGTCTTGTATTGTTTACTTCCATTGGGATAGTTATAATATGCATTTCACAGATATATATAGTTTACTTACTGTATTTTCATCTTGATATCTTATCACGATTATTATTTGTTGTTTTAAAAAATTTGAGTACTTTTACAATACTTTTTAGTAAAAATAGCAGCCACTGGCTTAATTTGTTTTCTTTCGTTTAATAATTTTTCTTTTATTAGTAAAATAATAATTAAAAAATAATTAAATAATTAAAATATGGAGTGAATTAATTTCATTTATCTTTTATTTTAATAGAATGGTTTAGATACTTTTTAAGCACTTACAATTAATTCCGTTACTTTTAAGTAATATAATAGTTTACATAACAACAACGAAATGATTTGTGGAAGTTTTAAAATGAGAGAAATTTTTCGTTATTTTCCTTTATTAAAATAACATTTTTCGTTACAGGCTTACAGTTTGTTTTTAATTTGTTACCAGATTTTAAAAATTATTTAAAGGACTAGTTTTAATTACATTTTTTAAATACATTGATTTAAGTTCTTTTAAACACAGTTAATTTTGTTACTTTTAAGTAATTAGCTTTGTTTTGTTATGGTCCGCCAGTGTCTTTTATAGTTTCTTTACGATAAAGTAACAAAATAATTTCCTAAAACTTTGAAATGAGGGTAAATTTTCTTTACTTTTTGCAGAAAATAACAACCACTTGTTGCGTTAGTTCATTTATTTATTTATTAATCTTTTTTTGACAGCATAATATCTTAATACATGTGTGAATCATTCGGGAAGAAATGAAATTATTTAAAATAATTCAATGAGATTTTGAGATTTATTTTTCGTTTATTTAATTACAAGACTGTTAAAAACATCTAAGTTTTCAGCCTTCGGGTCAAATATGGTAATTATTGATTAAAAAAGACATTTGCCAGACCGATTTATCCTGCACCTATATGCTTGAGCTTGGAAGTATTTAACATTTTGTTCCTCCAACATTTTAAGGCATTTAACAATTCAAAAATTTAATCTTTATGATAATCTAAATTGTTTTAGGTTACACTTGGTCTACTTACTTACTAATCATATGGGTCCGTTCAATTCTTATGTAAGCATATTTTTGGCAATACTGGAGTACCCCTCCCCCTTGTCAGCAAAAATAAGCAAACCACAAGCCCCTTTCCTAAAAAAAGCCACCATACCTCCCTTTTTTTTAAATTTTTCTTTTTATACTTACACTTTGAGTTTAGTTGTAGTAATTTGGAAAAGGTTTACACAATTTTAGGTAATTTGTTTGAATTCGCACAATTTTGGTTCAATTTCAGGGTTAAATTCAAACAAAGCTTTTAACTTTGCAAAATAACTAATTTTGCGTTTTCATTTATTTCATAAAGCTTTAGTTAAATAATTTTTAAGAATATTTTATTTTTTTTCCCTTTTTACTCAAAATCTTGACCTGAAGCTCTCTTGGAAACAATTTTTTTCCAACTCATTGTCAAAACTTTTTTTAATGTTTCTTAATTGCAATTTTTTTGTTAAATTTTTTTTCATTTAAAAAATTTAAAATTTGGGATATCAATGTCTACTGTAAGTGTTACTCATATCCCTCTTTCTCCTGACCCATACCCTGTTAGCCGCTTACGTATTATTTGAAAAGACCCTAAATACTTAATGTTTTTGAGATTGGTGTAACTTAGAGAGTAGATACACGAATTAGATACATAACTTAGAGAGTAGATACACGTTTTCTAGTTCCAATTTCAGATTTCAATTAATTTTCAATACTTATTTTCTCTCGAGTTTTTTTTTCTCTCTCTCTTTTTTAATTGAAAGGAGTTTTGCGTTTCAATATGAGAGATACTTCAATGCTAAAATTGATTTTTTTTTTTATTTTTTAAATGAAATGAAAAATTTAATTCAGGGAATATTTTTNAATGTAATAATTGCAACATAATTTATCATTTTGTCATATCCTTTTTGGCACTTTTTAAATTGCCCGGGCATTCTAAACAATACCCAATTATTTACATTGCCCGTGACAGATATACGAATTAGGTAACAGGTTTTCTAATTCCAATTTCAGGTTTCAATTAATCTTCAATACTTATTGCCTAAATATAATTGCCAAAAAATAATATAAGTAGCAGGATAACTTTATTTTACTATTAAAGTACTTTATATGGAATCGTGAGTGGCTTGTAAGTCATAAAAATGTAAAAGTAAGAAATGATACGATTTATGCAACCTTTCTCAAAGTAAAAAAAAAAAAAATTTGTTTTTTTCTCTCTCTTTTTTAATTGAAAGGAGTTTTGCGTTTCAATATGAGAGATACTTCAATGTTAATATGGAATTTTTTATTTTTTAAATGAAATGAAAAATTTAATTCAGAGACGATTTTTTTCTCCACTTTTGGCAAAATGTTGATTAATTAACAATGTCTTTATGAAATTTGGTTTTCACATAGTTCATAGTTGGCGATTTTAGAAATTTTTTATTCATGTTTACCTGAATATGCAAAATTTTTGAAATGGTAAATAAATAAATTCCAAAGATGCCAATTGCTTTTTTTACTGTTTCAGATTATTATCCAGTCAAAATGATGACGCCACATAATCCAGAAAGGCGCGTGGCTGGAACTGCCCCGAGCACAGCGTCGCTTACGTCACGACAGGTAATCGGACAGTTTTATTCCATAAGCAGTCAAAATCCATCTATTTTAAAGTTGTATGTTATTGTATGATACTCCTTTTTTTTATGAATTTAAAAACTTTGCAACTATAATAAGATAGTTTTTATATTTAGTAATATTTATAGCTTTTAACGGAATTCAATTTGAAAACGCAATTTTATTTTTTGCGTGGTGATAATACAATTTTTTTCCTTTGTGTCTTAAAATAACAACATTTCAGAAATTTTGAAATGTTTAATGCTTCGTTGGAGTCAAATTTGTAAATGAAATTGTTATTCACGTTGTTTTGTTGTTTACATTCCAAGTAGCTGAAATTTGAGCTAGATGGCGTTGCATACATGGAATACACATAAACTCAAACAACTTGCAGAGATGTGGCTTTACATTTTTTTGCTATTATAAAAGAGTTGCAGTTATAAATTTCTGTGAAAAGTACATACAGTAGTAAAATCATGATATATTCTTGTTAAAGTTTTCAGTTAAAATCTATGGACATTTAGATACATTTAAAAAAATGAACAATAGCTGTAATAATTGCCTCTCTTTTTAATATCGTTTTTGAAAGTCCCTAAAGTGTCAACTTTATGCTATCAACTTGCTGTCTTCAAGGAATCGAGGGTGTAAAAACGAACAATAGCTAAAATAATTTCCTCTCTTTTTTATATAAAAGTCCCTGCAATGTCCATATTTACTCCGATCAAATTGCTATCTTCAAGGAATCGAGAGCATAAAAATGTACAATAGCTAAAAATAAACAATAGTTAAAATAAGTTCTCCATTTTTAATATCCTCTTTAAAGGTCCATGAAGTGCCCATTTTGTTCATTTCGACCAGTTTGCTGTCTTAAACAAACGGAGCACATAAAGATGAACAATAGCTATAGTTATTTCCTCTTTTTTTTAGTATCCTCATTAAAAGTCCCTAAAGTGTCCAGTTTGCTCACTTCGACCAACTTGCCATCTTAAACGAATCTAACACGTAAAATTGGATAAGATAAAAACTAGATCACGTAAACTGCTAGCTTTTGTTTTGATATAATTCTTATTATCTTGATTTCTTAATTTTAGGGTGGTGGTCTTACTCCGGAGACTGAGGAAAGGAAAAAGATATCAGATACATTGCAAGAACTCTTGGAAAAATTTCAAGAATACAGTAGAAAGCGATTAGAAAATGATGCAGTAATGATGGAGCTCATGGTGGAGGGAAATCAATTAAAAGAACGAAACATGCTACTCTTGCAACATTTGATTACTGACCGACAAACGCGATCTTAATTATGGTACAAATGGAGTATTTTGAAAATAAAAATTTTGTTTTAAATGCAGTAATTTTGTATTTTTTGTAAAGGAGGAAGCAAGAGAAGAAGAAAAAACTAAGCATGGTAGATTAAGCTTGTTAAGCGAGAGACAACATAAATTTGCGAGGTCTATCCGAACAAATATTTATAACAGGAAATATTTTATTGAAAACTCAGATTTGATTGAAGATGTATTTTAGAGATGCTTTTATTTATCATCCCCTCCTAGCTTCTTCCAACAAGCATATTAGTTTCATTCCAGCAGATTCTAGATTTCCTAGATTTCATTTACAAGCAGACTCGTTTTGTGCATATTTTCAAAGCATGGGTATTCCATATTCTCATATGACGACGTATAATATACGAGGGTATATTCTCATTGCGGGTATCGTTTCGGTCACCTAATACTGACTTTTAGCTTTGTAGTCTTGTCACCACAACTTCTAAAAATGTCGAAAGCCAGATTCTGAATGAATTTAAGTTCAAATCATAAGTGAGTTCACTTTATTTGTTAACACACTGTTTGAATATTCATTCTAATATAAATATATATATATATATATATATGTCTC